CTACAGTCCATGGGGTTGCAAAGAGTAGGACATGACTGAGCCACTTTCACTTTTATCTATTCACTATCATCACTCGGTATTTTTCTATACCCTCTAGGGCTACAGTCCAATTTTAAAGAATGGATCAAAGTAGAAGAGAACTACAAGGGGTTACTGTAACTTGGCTTCTGTATTTACTTTACCAAAAGGACTGTAGATTGGGCCAACGGTGAAAGTAAGAATATATGTATGAACAAAAGCCCTGGGAAAAGAAAGCATCTAGAAAGGAATAGCTTCATACTCATTCATATTTATGTGTGTGTGTGTGTGTGTGTGTATCCTTATATTAATGAACGCACTAAGTGGATACTTCATACTCTGCTATAGAGAAAAGTGAGGCAGATTCAGGAGAGACAGTATCAGGGTTTCAGGTAGGGTGGAAGGTGCTCAGAATGAGTGCCTGAAGTGTTAAACACAGGAGATACTTAGGCATTGGCTATTATATTCTAAAACAGGTTATCAGCTACTTTTTCCATATGTAAGCAAATGATCATTCACATAATCATGTATAAAGGAAAATATTGTTTTTTCAATATTGTTATGCCCAAAATTCACATATATATTCTAAGTAAATAAAATTTTGGAATGCATATTCCTTCTGAATGAAAGATGAGTCAAAATAAAATGTTCAAGAGAAGGGAAGCTGTAGTAAAAACAAGCAAACAAAAAACAATGATGAGGATTAAGGATTAACCCTTTTGTGTGTAGAATAAGGAATAAACAATTATAAATATGTGTTCAAAGATAAATACTAGTCGTAATGCTTACCCAGAAATGCTAAGAAAACATTGAAATGAGAGTAAGAGGTGCATTTTATTCTACAAAATCAAAGCAAACTATAAATTCCTTATAATTAAAGTAATATGGTATTAGAAGAGAACAAGGAAAACAGAAAAAGAAAAGAGAGTCCCAAATCAAACACAATTTCAAATTGGAAATTAGTGTATGATAAAAGCAGTTTTTAAAATCAATGGGTAAAAGGTAAAATATTGATATAAAATGCTGGGGCATCTGGCTGAGGTTTTTAAGTAAAAAAAATAAACCAGTTCTTCATTTCTCACAGTAGATGAAACAAATGAAAGATCTAAACATTACAATAAAACTAAAGGGAAATATTTTTTGTATTCTTGAAGTAATACCTTGTTTAAATGACAAATATGCTAGACTCTGTAAAGAAATATAATGACATAATTGACTACATAAAAATTACAAATCACAGTCAGGTGGAGGTCACATAGCTAAAAAGACTAATTTAAAAAGTGCTTCCTTTATATTCACATTTATTGTTACCTACAATGTATAAAGCCTTCCCAAGTGGCTCAGTGGTAAAGAATCTGCCTGCAATCAGGAGACAGAAGAGATATAGGAGACCATAGGTTCAATCCCTGGGTTGGGAAGATTCCCTGGAGAAGGAAATGGCAAAGTAAAGTTTGGGATGTAAATTGCCTGGGAAATCCCATGAAGAGAGGAGCCTGGCAGGCTATAATCCATGGGGTTTCAAATAGTTGGAGATAGCTCGGCAACTAAACAATAACAGTGTATAAAAGAATACAATTCTATAACAAAACTTCAAATAACCTGTTTTATAAGTAGGCATTATGGAGACAGCCAGAGGAACTAAGCAAGTTTGGGCAATTCAACCACAGCAAGGTCATATTGTGAGAGAATTGGGCGGAGAGGTGCCTGTGATCACTACATCCCCTCTATTTTTGCATCTGGACTCAAGATGGGCAGGAGAGCATCTGGGAAGCTGACCGTGGGCTTTTCCCTCTGACTCTACCAAGGGGTAGGAGGAGGAATGATCCATTCCTTTGGTTTCCACAATAGGAGGCAGCAGTGGGGAAAGAGAGGAACAAAGAAAGAATACAGGAAAGAGGGGAGGAAACTAATAGTGTTGAGAATCTACTATTTGTCAGGACCTTGTCCAGTTCTTTTACATAATTACCACATTTTATCATTCCCTGTGTTTGTTCCAGGACATACTGCATGCCTATTCTCTTGAGGGAGATCATCTCTCTGCCTTTGTGTGCAAGGCACCCTGAGGGGTCCATGTGGCCCTAAGAATGGATCTGGAGATACTGAAGAGGAGAAAAGCTTTCTGCCAAGCCTCAGGGAGCATAAATAAGACCATGCCCTTCAGAGATGAGTGCCAGCAAGGGGCCTACCACATAATTCACATGGAGCTAATCATATCTCAGTGCTCAGCAGTTTAGCATCATTCCCCACACTCCATTACTCAGGTGAAACTGAAGAGGGACCAGAAGAAGTCACTGGACATAGGGTTGTCTTTCTGATTCCTAGCCCTCTTTCCCAAGAACTACACCATCTAAAGAGGCAGGTTAAATGACTGTCAGACTGACATTTCAAAACGGGACTAAATTCATTTTCAAAAAGTTTCTGAATTCAGGAAGGTGTAGGTTTCTGAGGAATCTGTACAGTTAAATAGAAATCACATTTTCTTTGCAAAATGGTATATAGTGTTAATAAACATTGACCCCTATCCAGGAGGAAATTAGAAAAGATAGAAGGAGGTCAGCGAGCAGAGAGAGAGAGAGAAGCTAAGTGTTGGTTTAGTGTTCTGCTGACACTGTTTTGAAATTCTTGATAATTTTGAACTTCATCCCAACTCAAGTTTGTGCAAATGTGCACTAGTGGGATCCTAGCCCTCTTTCCCAAGAACTACACCATCTAAAGAGGCAGGTTAAATGACTGTCAGACTGACATTTCAAAACGGGACTAAACTCATTTTCAAAAAGTTTGTGAATTCAGGAAGGTGTAGGTTTCTGAGGAATCTGTACAGTTAAATAGTAATCACATTTTCTTTGCAAAATGGTATATAGTGTTAATAAACATCGACCCCTATCCAGGAGGAAATTAGAAAAGATAGAAGGAGGTCAGCGAGCAGAGAGAGAGAGAAGCTAACAGTGTTGGTTTAGTGTTCTGCTGACACTGTTTTGAAATTCTTGATAATTTTGAACTTCATCCCAACTCAAGTTTGTGCAAATGTGCACTAGTGGGGCTAAATACCCACGCATCCGACCTCCTCACTCTTCCTGGGTTTACTTTCTTTCTGTAATCTTACACTGTCCTCTGTGTATCCACATTCTTAATGCCATATCCTCCCTCTCACTCCTCTGTACACAAGTAATACTCTGAAGTCTGCTCTGTCAAATCTGCTTCTTGATTGGTCAACAAAGAAGAATAAAGGAATTTAAGAAGTTATTTTCTCTAATAACACTTTGACTTTCAAGGTCTCGAAAAAAAGGTCTTATTAAAAGGTCTTATATAAAAAAAATAAATCCAAACTCCCATTTTGGATATCAAAGGCTAAGATTCCCTTCTCTACCTTCCTACTATGCATGCTCAATTGCTAGGTCATGTCTGACTGTTTTGCAACCCCACAGACTCCTCTGTCCGTGGGATTTCTCAGGCAAGAATACTGGAGTGGGTTGCCATTTCCTTCTCCAGCGAATCTTCCCAACCAGGGATCGAACCCACATCTCCTGCACCGGCAGGCAGATTCTTTACTGCTGAGTCAACTGGGAAGCCCCTTCCTACTGTATTAATCCTACTGATTCCTAAGCATTGGCCTTTCAGCTTTCCCCACCCCAGGAAGAAAAGATGGCTCCGGCTCCTTAAGGAGAAAGCCATGTTCTTAGAAACACACAATATCATGATTTACTTTCCTCATTGCCTCAAATGTTCAGGAATACTTTCTCTCTGTTACCAGGCCCAGCTTCATGGATAAGTGACCTGTGCAGTCACATGGGATCCTACACTCTGAAGGACCTCATGCTTTGCTTAAAGTGTTGATATCATCATCTTGAAATGGCTAATAACTTTTGAACAAGAGACTCCACAATCCCATAGCTGGGCCTGCCTGTGGCTCTGGGCCTTTAGAAAAAAGCATTCCACCATGATTAAACCCAAAGGTATTTAATATAATCTAGCATTGCTCAATGGGGTGTGAGTCTACTTTTTGTGTGTTAATTAAGGGGCTTTGAATTCTCTACTTGTGCTTCTTACTATCCCATTTGCTTCGTTTCGGGTGAAAGCGAAATATTTCCTGTGTCAAAGTGAGATTTGTCAACATGAAAACAAATATCAAGTTCAGGGTAAAAAATGGATCAGATCAGGCCCTTCAGTAGGAGCAAAGAGAAGACTGGATCACATTTTAGCTCAGACACTGTTTCCTGCCCATGACCCTGATACCACATCAGAGAGGGCAGAGCCCTGTGCATCCACCTGCCTATCCAGCCTGCCCACCTGGAAGGTCAGAGGCAGCAAAGGGCTGCCCCTCAGTGGCCCCAGCAGCACTAGTTTTAGAGAGGGAAGTGAGTCAGAAAGAGAAAGACAAATATCATATATTAATGCATATATGTGAAATCCGAAAAAAAAATGGTATGGAAGATCTTATTTACAAAGTGGAAACAGAGACACAGACATAGAGAAGAAACATATGTATATCAAGGGGGAAGGGGTGGGGTGGGGTGAATTGGGAGATTGGGATTGGCATATATGCACTATTGTACTATGTGTAAAATGGATAACTAACGAGAGCATACTCTACGGCTCAGGGAACTCTAAGTGCTCTGTGGTGATCTGAAATGGGAAGGAACTCCGAAACAAAGGAGATACATGTGTATGTATTGCTGATTCATTTTGCTATACAGTGGAAACTAACCCAACATTGTAAAGTAACTATACTCCAATAAAAATTTAAAAATATATATATAAACAGCTAAAAAATAAAAAGCACAGGGAACTGGTATCACAGAGGATGCAACTGTGTTCTTTTAAATCTCAAATTACATATGTAGGACTTTTCCCCTTGTTAGGTACACAGTTGGCAGCCTTTATAAACGGTCTTATCTACTATTAGCTTCTTTAATAGCAGGTAAGAGAAACATATTGCAATATGAAAGACACACACATGTTAACACATGCATACAAGAACTCACCATCCAGTAAAGCTTCACTACATACTTTCCATAGCTGTTAAACAAGGGCACGTGACCCTTCACAGCCTTGCACAGAGAGTATATGTGTTCCCAGGGCTTCCAGGCCAGAAGAGGCGGTTCCCCTGCTGTTCCTTTAAAATAATTGGTCAAAGCACTCCCATTGAATATCTTCCACACGGCATAGATTTCGCTGATAATCCATCTCATTAGCTAGAGGTAAAAACCAGTCGTGTTCATTAGTTATTTTTCAATTGTTGGCACTGTAATTTTGGGAGTGGGTGGCAGTTGAAAATCTACTTCCAGTAGTACTGTTAGATTCTATGTGTAATATATTCTACATTTTTATTTCTGACCTACAGAATAAGGTCATACATCTTGCTTTTGTTCTCAGAAAATGTAGTCATAATACAAGCTAAAAATCCTTAGCTAAGAGCTGTCTTTCAGGGTAAATGGTCAGTGATTTGACACTGACCACCTTTTTAGCTGTGTGTGTGTGTGTGACAGAAAAGGAGAGAGAAGGGAGGAAGGCTGAATGCTTCTGAGAGCAATGATGGCTTTATTTTGGAATTGTTATAAAAGATGAAGCTGTGAAAGTGAACGCATTAGTTACTCAGTCGTGTCCAACTCTTTGTGAGCTTACGGACTGCAGCTCACCAGGCTCCTCTGTCCATGGGATTCTCCAGGCAAGAATACTGGAGTGGGTTGTCATGCCCTCCTCCAGGGGATCTTCCCAGCTCAGGTATCGAACCCAAGTTTTTTAAGTCTCTTGCGTTGGCAGACGAGTTCTTTACCACTAGCGCCACCTTATTGAGCTACTATTCTGTAAATGTGAGAATTTGAGAAGAAAATGATCCTTCTATGTCAATAAGGTCAATTAGACAAGCAATGAGACATGAGAAAGAAGTAAAACTGGGCACACACTTGAATACACTCTAAGTCCTATATTCATGTGTTGACCGGCAGGTACAACAGTGCTCCAATAAAACTCCCACCTGCAAGGTTTTCATCAGGCAGCAAGGCACAGTGAAGAGTTGAACTTCAGAGTATGTTTCACTGCCTGGTTTGTAAGGAGATTCAATACTTGAGTCTGAAGTCATAAGATTTATATTTTTCTTAATTTGGTTATCTAGAAAGCTTCTTAAAGGTAGGTTAAGTTGAAAAAGGCAAATCAGATATCCTCCTATGTACCTGGAGATTTTACTATAGAATTATTTTATACTTCCTTTGTGGAATCCAAACTATGACACAAATGAACCTATCTACAAAACAGAAATAGACTGATAGACATAGAGACAGTCTTGTGGTTGCCAAGAAAGAAGGTGGGGGAGAAATGGACTGGGTCTTTGGGATCAGCAGATGCAAACTATTATGTATATAATGGATAAATAACAAGGTCTTACTGTATAGCACAGTGAACTATATTTAATATCCTGTGACAAACCATACAGAAAAAATATACAAAAGAATGCATATATAATATATACGTATACATGTAGAATTGAATCACTTTGCTGTACAACAGAAATTAAGACAACATTGTAAATCAACTACATTTCAATAAAAATAAATAAGTAAAACATTTTACACGTCCATGGAAAATATGCTAAAGTCTTTAGAATTCATAAAATATAAAACAATTCAGAGATAATTTTATACTACTCAGTACAAGCTGACCGAAAAAGTTAATATTTTGATTTTAGTATTGGCCAAGATGTTAAGAAAGACAAAATGTTTGAATCAATAATAACTACACCCCTATGATTGGGTCTTTGGAGAAAATAATGAAAAAAAAAAATCCCTGTTTCTGATCTAACTACCTCAGGGAAGTGGAACAGGTCTACTTATGATGGATAGAACCCAGGGTGGAGAGGGAGAAGGTGAACTCCCACAGGCTGTAGGACTGCTGTGCTGAAAATCTGTCTTGTGTAGGTGAGGTATTACATTTGAACTGAATCTCCTGATTCCTTCACATTGGCAAGCCAAACACCATCAGACACCCTACTCTTGGGCATGACGTAGGCTCAGACTGGCAACAACTTTATGTTAATTGCTAGGTACATGGATCCAGAAGAGAAATGCCCAGATGGTAAGAACCTGACTACCCTGGTCCATGGCACAAGCAGTGCTACTATTAACATCTCCTCCACTGACTCTCTTGCTAAACTCAATTAAAGAGCTTCTCTTCCTCATTGAGTGTCTGGATATGAAATATTCAGTTATACTAAAATTTAAAGGTGAGCAAGAGCACTGAAATTGACCACCCGGGAGTTGTTTAAGCAGGTCCAGAAGGCATTCTTCAAGGAGCTTTTTGGTTCATACTTCCCCAACCTACCTCACTGCAGAGTAAATGCTCATTGGCTGAAAACAAGTCAAACAGGATTTCATTTTTCACAACCACTGGAGCCTGAAATAAAAATATATATAGAGAGATATTGTTCCTTGGGAAAAATAAAGGAAATTTAGTTTACTGATACAATTTGGCCTACATACAGGACAAATTTGATTTCGTTTCTCACAGAGGAATTGGAAGAAATAAAAAAATAAGCATATTATTCTATAAGATAACCTCTGATAGAGCTGTGACATTAATTTAATAATGTAATGCCTATAAAGTACAGTATTTTAACATAATAAAATGTTGTAAGATGTAACATATGCAGATAAATTTAGCATGCATACACACACACAGAGTGTGTGTATACACACTGTGTGTGTATACACACACCTGATTTGAAATTTAAATAAACCCTTCAAGTTAAACCTGAAGCTTACTTAACATCTGGTAGCTAGAAAAATCGCTTCATCTTAGATGAAAAATATTAACTGAGACAGCTTTTAAAAATCTTGTTTGACTTCAAATCTTGTAATAACTTTTAAAGTTAATTTTGCGGTCATTATTTAATTTGTATATATCTAAAGTTCCTTTTATATATTAAGATCAGTAAAGGAAAAAGATAATAGGGAAAAATATGACATAGCAAATTTTTTAAATTAGTTACAATTAATATCAACTTTATATATTTAACATACCAAATTAACATGAAAATGATTTTGATTAGCAAAGTAGATTTTTATAGAAACTCAATCATCTGTATAACTAGTACCTTGAAAACTCAATAAAGTACTTTCAAATGTCTGAGTGAAATTTACCTACAACTACCCTGAAGGCCGGAATTGACTCTTAAGTTCATAACTTACAAGCACAATTTATAAAATTACATACATATAAGGTGTCAAGAACATATATATATATATATGTATATATATATATATATATTCATTGGCTTCTCTGCCAATGCAGGAGACACAGGAGATATAGGTTTGATCCCTGGGTCAGGAAATGGCAATCTACTCCAGTATCCTTGCCTGGGAAAGCCCGTGAACAGATGAGCCTGGCAGGCTACAGTCCATGAGGATGCAAAGAGTCAGATATGACTTGGTGACTAAACAACAATATATATTCAGTAAATTTTATATAGAAAGGTCATTATTGTTTTACAATATTTTTATCTAAACTTTATGTATGTCCATATTTATTGGCTCAGGTGGTAAAGAATCTGCCAGCAACACAGGAGACCCAGGTTCGATCCCTGGGTCAGAAAGATCCCCTGGAGAAGGGAATGGCAACCAACTCCAGGATTCTTGCCTGGAGAATCCCATGGAGAGAGGAGCCTGGTGGGCTACAGTCCATGGGATCACAAAGGGTTGGACACAGCTGGGTGACTAACACTTTCACCTTTTCTTGTCCATATTTGATGTCTCGAAATCAAATGTGTTTATCACTGTGGACTCAGACAATACAACTTGGCCAGCACTATTCTAAAACTTTACTGCTTGGCTGGACTTTCAGTTCTGGCTGTTCTGGTCCACTCCCAGCACGACAGACCAAGAGAAGGGGTCAGTGCAAAGGGAGAGAGGTAAGGAGATGGAGGACAGTATTTCAATAAGGTGGAAGTGTCATTGTCAACAATGAATACATTTATTTTTAGGACCAGTACCAGTATTTTTCTCTCAGACCTAAGGTATGCTAAAAAGATAAAAAGGTAGAAAACTTTCCTACTTATCCAAACTTACAACACTCTCACTTCATGGAATTTATATTCTTCATTTGCTTGGAATGTAAATTCTGTACTTAGAGTGAGTAGAGCCTGAGTATTATTAATAATACCTACATATTAAGTGAATTGTATTAACATCACAGAATTTGCATTCATCATTTCAAAGTCACCTAACAATATAACTAATTTAAAAATATGGTTTGCATAAATTTTATTGACTTTATTTAAAGTGTTTTACAGACAGGCATTGAAAAAGTACTCTGATGGACAAAGATGTACTTTGCTATTTTCTTATTTTAATAAATATTTCAGATTTAGTGTTTCTGACTTTCTTAACTAATAACAATAATTGATAATATGATGAATAGATTGTATTTTCTTCATTAGTAGCAGTGCTTCTAAAACACTTAGAAATAAAATCACTTTGCATAGAAACAGATGCAATGAATTCCATAATCACAGAAGAATCCGTCCCATTTTAATCTTTTGACTAGCATTAAGTACTTAATTTAGCCTACTAGTTTTCTATGCATTAAATGAAAGTGGGGAGATTCAAGAAGGGAAAAAAGACATTAGTGACAATTAAGCCCTTAAAAATACCAGATATATTCAAACTAACATAGCTATTAATTAGGAAGATAGATCAATGTATCTAAAGCTTTAATGTATATAAGCACTATTCAAAATGAAGTACTATTTAAAATGAAGTTTTCTTGGGTGATGTCCACATCAGTATAATTCAAATGGACTTCAGATATGAAAGTGGCTCTTGGAAAATGCTTCAAAAATTCCTGGAAGAGAGAAATCCAAGTGCTATTCTCTTGGACTGGAAAATTAATGCTAATGAACTCTAACCTAAAAGACCTTTACATAAGATAAGAAGCAGAGAGGAGAAAGTATGTCAGGATTTAAGGAAAAATTTTGCGCAACATTTTAGGTTATAATTTGACATTAGGCAGAGAAGAAGGAAACTTGAGGCCTTAAACAAAATGTCAATATTCTTTTGGAAACCAGTACAAACTATATTGATAAATATTTATTTCTAATTTAAATTCCAAAAGTAATTACCCTTTCTTACTAGATACCACAGGAAAACTACCTTATTTTTAAAATGCAAATTTCCAAAACTAGGATATTATATCTCATAGCTAATGCAAATTTTGTTTAATAGTAAAATTATCTCTTACCCGATTGATTAAAAAATCCTGTGGACGTTTCCAGGAATAAATTTTCAATGATGATGGTAACTCAATTTTTCCTTCAGGATCTTCAAAAAAATGCTACATAAAAGAATTTGTTAAGTTTTTTCTCTACATAGTTTTATTAAAATAAAAACGACTCTATCCCAATAACAATGAATATATCAAATGAATCTGAACAGTAAAGAAGCATTTATAGAGGAATTTGTGTGAGTGTTCTCAGAGCTAGTTTGTAAAGTACTTAGAGAATATTGAATTAACATTGCTGCAATTAATTAATGAAACCTTGGTTATTAAATAGCATCTAGCAGAGGAAGTAGTCCGAACAAGCATGAGCTGCCTTGGAGTGTGAATTAGTTATGGTAGGGAGACAATTTTGAATGGGCTAGTAAGGCCATATTTTCCACTGAAAATATGGCTTTTTTAATCTAAGTAAAGAAGATTTAAAAAATATTTACTTATTTTTCAATGGTTAGAATCATAAAAAGGATTACATGTAAATAAAATTTGTACCTTTGACCTGACTTTGATTTATTAATCATTTAAATTAAACTTGTTATTTTGGTGTAATCATGATTCATAAACCATTGTATGAAATGATACAGAGAATTCTTTGGTTCTCCATCCAATTTCTCCAGTAGTAACACCTTAAAAACCTGTAGTATACAATCAGGATATTGACATTGACACAGACAAGATTACAGAATAGTTCCAGCAGCACAAGAAGCCTCGTTGTATCTTTGTATAGCCACAGGCACCCTCCAACTCCCCAGTCTGTGTTTAATCCATACCACTTGGCAATTGCTAGTTAGTCTTGACTTTTATAATTTTTTTATTTCAGTAATGTTATATGAATAGAACCAATAGTCTGTAACCCTTTGGATTTATTTTATTTCTCTGCCTAATTCCCTGGAGATTCAATGCATTCAAGTTTTTGCGTGTGTTAATAGTTGGTGGTTTATTGCCGAGTAATATTTCATGCTACAGATAGATATTTGTTCATTTACCATCTGCCCATTGAAAGACATCTGAGCTGTTTCCAGTTTCAGGTTGTTACTAATAAAGCTGCAATGAACATCGTGTACAGGTTATTGTTTTTTGTATGAATATAAGTTTCCATTTTTCTGGAGCAAATGCACACTAAGGCAATTAATTCATTAGTTTTTGACCCCCAACTATGGATCAATTGGTGAATTCTAGAGAAAGAATGGTGCCCAAACGCAAGCAGTCTAGTAAGTTAGAGAGATTTCAAGTAACTGCTGTGTGAAAATTCTCAGGGCTCATGAGGTGGTGGGTGATGGGAAATCTTTATGAGAAATAAAGATTTATTGAGATTTTTATGAGAAATAAAGATATGAAAATTTCTAGGAGTACAAACAAGATACTAAAACAACAATCTATCTGTGGTGGGGGCAGAGATTAAATTTCCCCTCAGTTAATGGGGACAGATCAAATCAATACTGTTTTGATTTTCATTATATGTTTACCCTAACACTCATGTGGCTTGAGAAACAGGTTATATTTGAGGACATTGTCTGAGAGTTAAACCTAATACATTTCTGTTTATCTGAAACATATGGTTTACTGTCATATTTAGCATACTGGAATAATTCAAATGAAGACAAAGGAAACTCCAACATCTAGTCAAAATGATAGAAGAATGAGTTTAAAGGATGGACTGATGTTTTTCCAAGAGAAGTATTAGACTTTTGGGGTTCCCTTACATTGTTTTTTTTCCCCTAAAATTATTAACTTAGAAATTTTAAAGTGCCCTATCTGAAAATTCTCAGAGTTCCTTCTAGATCTGTTTCTATTATCTGTTTTTTTCCTCTTGATTTTCAGTCACTTGGTTCTGTTTCTCTTCCTGTCTGGTAAATTTTGAGTGTACGCTATATACTGGATATAAAAATATATACAGGTTCTAAGTGGTGATGTCTTCCTCCCAAGAGGAGGATTTTATTCCTTTCTGACAGTCAGTGCAAGATGAATTTGACCAAATCAGCACTGGGTCTTAGGATTTGGCAGGGCTGGCGTACTTTTGTTCATCCTTACTCACTATGGAATGCTGTAGCCATGTTGGGACATTAATGGAAAGTCTGGAGTGCTTATCAAGCTCACTTGGTGCACACGGAATTCCAATCTCTAGCTATCATTATGAAATTTTGTCTCAGTTATTTAGCTTCCAGACTGCTGTTTTTTCACTCATTTGTTCTGCAGCAAAAGCTTCACATACATAGCTTATGAGGTACATAGATGTCTCAAGATAAAATTGTATGCAAAATTTTCAGATCACTTCTCCATAGTTACCCCTGGGGTCTGGGTTCAAGGTCTGCTTTGGCAGCTTCAGACAATATCCTTCTTCACTTCAACCCAGAAAAACGGACATAAGCTCCAGGCCACTACCGTCTTCATGGTCTCTACTTTCCATACCTCGAATTAATACATGACTTTGAGGAAGAAATCAGTGGGGCTCATCTCATTGTGATTCCCTTTTCTCCAGGATTTGAGCCTCTCCTATTGTTAACAGTACTCTTTTCTTGTCATGTTGCTTTAGGTGTATTTCTTACATCTACCTTACTGTACTTTATCATACAGTTCTCCATTTTGTTCACTCACCATATCCTTTCCTTCCAATCACTTAGGCGAGGAATTGAGACCTAACCATGGACTTACAGGAAATGGTCAGTTCAGTTCAGTTCAGTTTAGTCGCTCAGTCGTGTCCGACTCTTCGCAACCCCATGAACCGCAGTATGCCAGGCCTCTCTGTCCATCACCAACTCCCAGAGTTTACTCAAACTCATGTCCATCGAGTTAGTGATGTCATCCAACCATCTCATCCTCTGTCATCCCCTTCTCCTCCTGCCTTCAATCTGTCCCAGCATCAGGGTCTTTTCCAATGAGTCAGCTCTTCACATCAAGTGGCCAAAGTATTGGAATTTCAGCTTCAGTTTCAGTTTCAACATCAGTCCTTCCAATGAACACCCAGGACTGATCTTCTTTAGGGTGGACTGGTTGAATCTCCTTGCAGTCCAAGGGACTCTCAAGAGTCTTCTCCAACACCACAGTTCAAAACCATAAATTCTTCTGTGCTCAGCTTTCTTTATAGTCCAACTCGCACGTCCATACATGACTACTGGAAAAACCATAGCCTTGACTAGACGGACCTTTGCGGGCAAAGTAATGTCTCTGCTTTTTAATATGCTATCTAGGTTGGTCATAACTTTCCTTCCAAGGAATAAGTGTCTTTAAATTTCATTGCTGTAATCACCATATGCAGTGATTTTGGAGCCCCAAAACATAAAATCAGCCACTGTTTCCACTGTTTCCCCATCTAATTGCCATGAAGTGATGGAAGCAGATGCCATGATCTTAATTTTCTGAATGGAGCTTTAAGCCAACTTTTTCACTCTCCTCTTTCACTTTCATTAAGAGGCTCTTTAGTTCTTCTTCACTTTCTGCCACAAGGGTGGTGTCATCTGCATATCTGAGGTTATTGATATTTCTCCCGGCAATCTTGATTCCAGCTTGTGCTTCTTCCAGCCCAGCGTTTCTCATGATGTACTCTGCATATAAGTTAAATAAGCAGGGTGACAATATACAGCCTTGACGTACTCCTTTTCCTATTTGGAACCAGTCTGTTGTTCCATGTCCAGTTCTAACTGTTGCTTCCTGACCTGCATACAGGTTTCTCAAGAGGTAGGTCAGGTGGTCTGGTATTCTCATCTCTTTCAGAATTTTGCACAGTTTACTGTGATCCACACAGTCAAAGGCTTGGCATGGTCAATAAAGCAGAGATAGATGTTTTTCTGGAGCTCTCTTGGTTTTTCAATGATCCAGCAGATGTTGACAATTTGATCTCTGGTTCCTCTGCCTTTTCTAAAACCAGCCTGAACATCTAGAAGCTCACGTATTGCTGAAGCCTGGCTTGGAGAATTTTGAGCATTACTTTACTAGCATGTGAGATGAGTGCGCAATTATGTGGTAGTTTTCTTTGGCATTGCCTTTCTTTGGGATTGGAATGACTTTATGTGCCACCATATCATAAAATGCAATCAAAAGACTTGGAGTGTCCATGACTCACTCCAGTGGAGAAATTGTAGCTCCCTGAGCCATGAATGCTGAGCTTGTGGAACAGAATTGAGGGTGGAAGCAGGGTTCCATCTCAGATGGCACCACTTTGCATTGTCATAACAACCAGGATTTAAGCTGTGCTTTCCTACCTTCTGAAAGTTGCATTGGAAGAATGGGGTATTGGCTAGGTTCTGAAATGTCTGGTTCCAGTGGAATAGCCTCTATTCACAGCAGTAGTATGAGGGGAGTGCTTCCCAAAGCATGCAGTTTCATACAGCATCCAGCAATAGCCCTATGTGTCACCCCCAAGTAAAATGAACATCAAGTGACCAGCACATTTATTACCACTTCAGTCTCAGTGGTTTTCTTCTGATAAATTTTCTTCCAATAGACTTACCCTTGTCAATAACATTGAAAATTTTCAGAATTTGACACCTGACCTTCTAGAGATCTGCAAGAATTTTTCATAATCATCTGATAAAAGCATGCTTGTATTGTAAGGTCCTTAAAATATTATTTTGTATCTCATTCCCTATTTCAGAGTTTCAGGTACTCTGTTCTTCTCTTCCCCATTGCTTCTTTATAATTTGGAGTGACTTATCTCTGAATCTTTCCCAGTGCTCAGCTGTTCAACTGAGAACTTGCAAAATCTATCTTGCTGATGAAAATTCCCAAACAATCCCAATAAGATCTGAATTTCTATGAAAATATGTAAAACATGACCATTTTAATTTGAACCCATAGTTCAAAAGTCCTTTGCATCTAAACATTTCATAATTACCTTAGGTATGGTACAAAAAATACATTATCTCACATATTGTTATTTGAAATTGTTCAAATACTAACAATGTCAGAAGTTAATTATATTTACTGCCTTTTGTGTAAACAAATTACTGATATGAATCATGCAGTTTGTGATTTTGCACTTTGTGAACAAAATGTAAATGCTAATAAGTACCATTTCTGAGAGTTCTTTGCAAATAAAGACAATAGAGTTCAACCTAGCCATTATGTCAATTTTGTGTTTTGAAAATTGTACTGTGTTCTAAAAGTACTTCTGTTGAATGAACTATTGCTTCAAATAAATGGGCCATATTTAAAATGAAACCCAGACTAGTATTTTCTACAAAGAGGATTTTAGAAATAAATTTTTTTTTTATATCTTTACCTTATTTTCTTTTATTTTTTTCTTTTGTTTTTTTTCAGTGTATGGGATCTTTTTTTTCCCATTTATTTTTATTAGTTGGAGGCTAATTACTTTACAACATTGTAGTGGGTTTTGATCAATCAAAAAATGGGCCAAAGATCTAAACAGACATTTCTCCAAAGAAGACATACAGATGGCTAACAAACACATGAAAAGATGCTCAACATCACTCATTATCAGAGAAATGCAAATCAAAACCACAATGAGGTACCATTACATGCCAGTCAGGATGGCTGCTATCCAAAAGTCTACAAGCAATAAATATTTTTAAGTAAGTGATTTAACTGGAAAATGTAGGAACTCAATTCTCAGATCCAATCTCAGGGACACACCATGTTTAAAAGCCACAGGTAGGAACTTTACTGGTGGTCAGGGGTTAAGACACTGCCTTCTAATGCATGGGGTACAGGTTTGCTCCCTGGTTGGGGAGCTAAGATCCCACGTCTCATGACCAAAAAACAAAAAAAGCAAAAAATAAAACAGAATCAATACTGAAACAAAATCAATAAAGACTTTAAAAATGATCCACATTTTAAAAAAATTCACAGGTAAATGAAGAGTGACTGAGGTTTTTACCGGCATATCTTGGGGTACAGATATAAGGGGGATTCAATTCTTACCTCGTAACATCTCTTAAAAATTTATCCTCCCTATAATCTCTAAATAACAGCTCACAATTTCATGGGGGCTTCTCATTTCCTAAACCAACATCTCTAAATACCTGGTTCCGAAGTCTCTCAAAATCTATTAGCTAGCTTATTCTATCCCTTTCATTCTTATGAAGTTTTGGTCATTCCTTAAATGCAATTCACCAAAGCTCAGGACTAAAGACCTGGAGAGACAAGGTAGGATGAGGGGAGTCAAGGTGGACAAAGACAAGATTTCTCTTTTTAATTGAGGTTGTGGAGAAGGGTGAGCACATGCACATGTTAACAAGTCCTATTCCACTTACAATCAAAAACCAAACTGAAGTCCAGCCACATGCAAGCCTACTCACAAGTACAGGGCTCTTCCCCATCTTGTCCTTTTCTTTCGCTCCTTTCCCCGCATCCCACTTCTCAGCATTGATGTCAGCTTCGCTCCATTCTGGCCAGATCGGAAATTTCCCCTTCTTCTGTTCAGACGGTTGTACATTACTGCCGAAAGGGTACTGACTAGGGACAGAGAGGGGAGGTGGTTTGAATTCAAATCTCTGAGGTTAAAATACTAGATAATTTCATGAAATAAATTTAATTATCTTCTTAGCAAACATAACAAACATATTTCTCAATACAGTCATACCTGTAGATAGACAACTTCCACATGTTAAGGGTTTAAAGATTGAAATACCACAAAGAGATTATTCTGTAAGCAAATTTTGAGCATTAGCTCCTCTATAGCATCACTGACTCAATGGACATGAATTTGAGCAAACTCTAGGAGATAGAGAAGGACAGGGGAGCCTGGTGTGCTGCAGTCCATGGGTTGCAGAGTCAGATACAACTTAGCAACTACTTTCAGAGGCAGGACATTCATCATCAACATAGAAGGGGAACAACAATGAAGGGGAATGGTGATGGTTTAGTTGCTAAGTCATGTCTGACTCTTGCAACCCCGTGGACTATAGCCCACCAGGCTCCTCTGTCCATGGGATTTCCTAGGCAAGAATACTGGAGTGGGTTGCCATTTCCTTCTCCAGGTAAGCTTCCCAACCCAGGGATCGAACCCAGGTCTCCTGCATTGACAGGCAGATTCTTTATTGACTGAGCCATCAGGGAATTTTTATATATAATTCATACCCCCCAAAAATCCTTTACTTGTATAATAGTAATATATTAGTTATAGTAATAGCTTTCTGAAGTAGAGTGCAACTATAATTTGGATTTTTCCCAATATAAAAAGTCCACTATGGTCATCATTTTAAAAGAAAATTTAGAAACACAAATCAGATAAACAAGAAAAGCATACTCACATCATTCTAGAAACCACAACATTAAAAAGTATTCATCCCCTCAGATTAATGTACAAGGATATACATCTTTCTTTAAAAATGACATTATTCATTATGTTCTCTTTTATAGATTGCCTTTTTCCACTTATCAGTATACTGTTGATAGTTTCCATGCAAATAAGTGTTTACATATCTAAATACTAATTTAATGATTGCATAATATTCCATTGTATAATACATTGTCTTTCATTTAACTAACTTTCTTTATTTGGAAATTTGAGGCTTTTACTTTTTAAATTATTCCCAATTATAAGCAAGACTGTGATGGTTGCCCTTTTGCCAAATCTTTGCACACCTTATCATTTTCTTAGGACAACCAATATTCTATCAATTACTTCATCTGTATACCTGCCCTTGTACTCCATGTACAAAGAGAAGAAGAAAAAAACAGAAAACTGAGAAAAGCAGTCAGAAAGTGTGGTTGTTGTTCAGTCACTAAGTCATATCCAACTCTGCACCCCCATGGACTGCAGCACACCAGGCTTCCCTGTCCTCACTGTCTCCTGGAGTTTTCTCAGCCTCATGTCCATTGAGTTGATGATGCCATCCAACCATCTCATACTCCATTGCCCACTTCTCATCTTGCCCTCAATCTTTCCCAGCATCAGGGTTTTTTCCAGTGAGTCGGCTCTTCACATAAGGTGGCCAGGGTATTGGAGCTTTAGTTTCAGCATCAGTCCTTCCAATGAGTATTCAGGACTGATTTCCTTTAGGATTAACTGGTTTGATCTCCTTGCAATCAAAGGGACTCTCAAGAGTCTTCTCCAGCACAGCAATTTGAAAGCATCAATTCCTTGGCATTCAGCCTTCTTTATGGTCCAACTCTCACATCTATACATGACTACTGGAAAAACCGTAGTTTTGACTAGACAGACCTTTGTCAGCAAAGTGATATCTCTGCTTTTTAATAAACTACCTAGTTTTGTCATAGCTTTTCTCCAAAGGAGCAAGTCTCTTTTAATGTCATGGCTGCAGTCGCCGTCTGCAATTTGGGATGATGCAGATAAACCCATTCTTTATGTTAGTTAAAGTTAGTAATTAGCACTAGCTCTCTAGATCAGTTTCTCTGTGCTTGGGTTGATTTTCTCATTCACCTTTTTACAGAGGATTAAACTGGAAAGCCATGCCTTTATCTAAGGTGAGAGCATTTCCTTTCCTCTGGGGATCAGGATCTTACCTTATATCTTTTTAAACAAAAGTTTCCACTTTCACAAACTGATAAGCTTTCCCTGGCAATCCAGCTGTCATTCTGACTTTCAGTTCCCTTCTTATTTCTGGATCCTGAACATTTTTATTTCTTTATGTATGTGTTTCTAGGTGTTATTATTTTTACAAATTGGAATCCACCATCTTGCTGGAAAAGAAAGTCCGATAATACATATGTTGTAAAGGGGTGGTTCTAAGTAGCACGTAAGAAAACATGAAAAGGATGACTATGATAGTTATCAGGGAAAAGGGGCAATTTTTCACAATATTAATTTAAAAAAATCAAGGTATAAATTAGTGTATTATAGTACCTCTGTTTTACTCAATGTTGGTACAACCTTACAGGTAAAAAGAAATTAGCAGTTTTTTATCTTATCCATTAAAACCACGGTAAAATTACCTCATTTAGGAAGTCCAAAAACCCTAAAAACTCATTTTGTAAAAGGAAGATTTAATTAAAAAAAAAAAGGGTTCTATTGAGACAATGTTTTGCTTTCCTCTTCCTTCTGTCAAGTGTAAGTAAATATATCCTGGCTTCCTCCCTTAAGCTGTTAAGCCTTATCACTAATTGGCCTACTTTCCTTGTAACATGTCAAATTTATTTCCACCTATATTAAAGATCACTTAGAAAGAATCTCATTAGAGATATTTTATACTAGCTCAGTAGCTCCCCTATTGTGCTAAACACACAATACAAGTAGTGGTCAAATACAGCCCAATGTCAAATATACCATAGACTTCGAATGATTGCGTACAATTGTTGCTTTGAAAACTCTCAGCACAGTGTGCCTTTGAATATCATTGCCAGAATGTACCTACTGTGCTAGCATAGTTGGGATCCTTTAAAATATTCAAAGCCCATTATTCCTGATTTCATCATTTCTGAGAATAAGATAATCCTTAAACACAAAAGTAACCCAGGACTTTTGAAGATTTAGGAACTGGTACTTTGAGGAAATAAATTTTAAAAAATTGAAGAGTGCAAAGAAATCAAACCTTCCCCTGAAAAAAATCAAGGGTATATGCAGAGTTACTCTATTCATATAGCAATATACCCAATACTAGTAAATGATTTAATTCATTAGAATTACAAGTTGTATAAAAGATTTTGAAGGTAAGTATTTTCTCTAGTTATATGACTAAACAGTTCCTTCTACACAGTTAATCTAAATATGCTATTGAGATAAGTGAACCATTATGAGAGGGTCCCCAATTTATAAACAAAACATATCTGTGGAAATTTATTGTTTTAAAAAATAACTCAGCAAAAGTCAACAAGGATTGTTTATAGTATAAAATATGCTCAGACACTCAGTCATGTTCAACTCTTTGGGACCCATATATATTCCAAATGCCAAATGATATTCCAAAGGAAACCAATGTTTAGAGGGAAGAAAATTCTAGAAAGCCAGGCGAGGGACTGGTTTCCAGAGCAGAAATACAAAATGTAAAGGTTCTCCTGGAGAAAAGAGAGCAAACACAAAAGAAGCAAATTTACAACAGAGGGCCAAGTCAGGCATCTGACATGAAAATGATACATAAAGTGGGCAACACATACAAAGGTGTTAAAATAATTGTATATTTCATTACTACAATGAATTCATCATGACTGAAAGTTATTTAAAATGTGAGTGGCTGGTTGCTAGAGGCAGAGCGTGAGGGATGGGCAAAATGGATGTAAATGATCAAAACATGCAAACTCTCTACACAAAGTAAATGTCATGACCATGTAATGATTAGCATAGTGACTGTAGTTAATAATACACTGCTGTAGCTTTGAAAGTAACTAACAAAGTAGATCTTAAAAATTCACATCACAAGGAAAAATATGTACAATTATGTACTGTGACATGTTAACTAGACTTATTGTGGTGATCATTCACAATGTATACAAATATCAAACCATGATGTTCATAGCTGAAACTAATATAATATTATATGTCAGTCATATCTCAAATTTTTTAAAAAAGTTAATGGACTAATTACAGAAAGAACTTCTAGTGGTGGTTTGAGGGCTGGAATAGTGTAATCCACAAGCAAGTACTGGGAACTGGAATTGAGTAAGCTTAAAAGTTTATTTTGGAAAAAAAGCTGAATTCACACTGCAAATGTCGGGAGACCAGAAATAGGCTTCTTGAATGAGCAAGTGGCTAGAGTGGGCTTCCTTGGTGGCTCAGTGGTAAAGAACATATCTGCCCATGCAGAAGACATGGGTTCAATCTCTGGGTCAGGAAGATCCCCTGGAGGAGGAAATGACAACCCACTCCAGTATTCTTGCCTGGAGAATCCCATGGACATAGGAACCTGGTGGGCGACAGCTCATAGCTTACAAAGAATCAGACACGACTGAGCAACCGAGCATGCAGGCACAAGTGGCTAGGGTATTCATGAGCTCCTAGCTTTGAACTAAGTCTGGAATAACTCCCCTACAGTTTATGGTGTAAGAGGCAATACATCAATTTCCTGTGATTCCACAAGGAAATAAGCTGGCCAACAGGGAAAAATGGGGATGGAGTGGCTCTCTACCTCTATGAATGGGGTACCAGGAACAGCACTGCAGGCATGGGAGGAAAGTCTCCTGATGGTAAGACTTGACTGGAAGCAAGGCTGTTGTAAAAATGCTCCCACTGATAGGAAAAGAGAAATAGTCTTCAGGGAGTTCAGAAAAGCAGCTACTTGCCAACTGATGGAAAGTAGTTTAATAATGTAACAACTATCCTGTCCTTTTCACTGGAGCATCCCTGTGGAATGTCAGAATGGGTAGGAAGAGACTCATCCTAAAAACCATCCAAACCTAATGTCAGAAAATAGCATCCTTTAGTTTAAAATATCTACGAAATATGAAAAACACAAAGCAAAAAAAGAAAGAAGGAAACTTAAAACTCAAAGGACAGTCAGGAAATCACACTCAAGGAAAGATAAATACTGTAGCTGATTTAAAAGATATTTAAAATGAAC